TAACTTGTAAATGCATATATAACGAATATAAAATGGAACTCAAGATTGAGTGGTAGGACACTCATTCTACAAGATTTATGAGGAAGCTCACCCACATTCAAGTCTTAGCGTAGACAGTGGCATTGAATCTTTCTTCGTCATTAGGTTAAGAAAAATTACTATATTATAATCGAATCAATAACACTAAAATTGATTATGTGATAATACATTTTATCCAAATTCATAAGATCTCTCAAATGCACACAAAGATGATTCTTTTTATTCACTTCTCCATTTTATATTGTATTATTGAGTTAAGTTTTTAATAGTGTTATTGTTTAATTATTTTTATTATCTTAGTGATATTATTCTCTTGCTAAATTAGAACAAAGTAATTAATTTGTATCACATTGACCATTTCTAATGATAAATGAATATCGCTAATCCTCAAGTCATTTTGTGAATTACATCATAAGTTGTAATTACTTCAGCATATAAGGCGCAATTAAAGAAAAAGGGGATGTAGCTCAGATGGTAGAGCGGCTTAGCATGCAAGAGGTACGGGGATCGATACCCCGCATCTCCATAAATCTTCAAGACCCTCTTTTGTGGGATATAGGATATTCCTTTGTTGTTGTTTTTATTAAAGTATATATATATATATATATATATATAGATTTTGGTTCTGGTTAGAATGCAATCTTAGGAGAGAAATGAGAATGAATCTGGTGCTTTAGATTGTGAGATCTAAGGGTCAAGATTTCATCAAAATTAGATGCACCAAAATGGTGCGAAAATGCATCACGTTGAAATGCATCATAAACCTTCGAAAATGCACTATCTCAAAATCTGAGCGCAGGATGCAATCTGAGCCGCACGATGCATCAGATCCGACGGCTAGATTTTATTCTCATTTCTCTCCACAAAGTGCATTCTCACGGGAACCGGCCCCTATATATATATATATATATATATATATATATATATATATATATATATATATATATATATATATATATATATATATATATATAATGCACCTTAGTGAAAGAAATAAGAATGAAATCTAGCCTTTGGATCTGATGCATCATGCGGCTTAGATTGCATCTTGCACTCAGATTTTGAGATAGTGCATTTTTAAACGATTTTGCTGCATTTCGACATGATGCATTTTAAAATCATTTTGGTGCACCTAATTTTGATGCAATCCTCACCCTTAGATCTCACAATCTAAAGCACCAGATTCATTCTTATTTCTTTCATAAGATTGCATTCTCATTTGAACCAATATATATATACACACACGGTAAGTCTAAAATGACACCAGTGCTACTGGTGTCATTTTCTTACCAGTTCGTTTGGGGTACCTACGGTGCCCCGTTTGTAAAAATGACGATTCCAATCCCCCCTAACCCTCCCCCTAGACCCCCCACCCCGGGCAGTGTATTGCCAGGGTAGGGAGGGGGCGGCGCAGTGTACTGCCAGGGTAGGGAGGGGGCGGGAGGGGGGGCTGGGGTGGGTGGTTTAGGGGGAGGGTTAGGGGAGGTAGGAACCGTCATTTTTACAAACGGGGCACTGTAGGTACCCCAACCAAACTGGTGTATAAGTAACTGGTGTCATTTTAGATACTCTCATATATATCCTTTATTATAATATTTGAGACTCAAGCTCACAGAATGTCGACATGTGGCGGGTCTACTTGACATATTTTTTATGAGTCATCCGCCAACTTTGATTACTTTAATGACTTGACACTTTTATATTAAAATATAGATACAATTCTAATTAATATGCCTAATATATACCTCATACAACGACTAGAATATAATTATGAAGTAGAAAAATAAGAAGATAATTATGAGTAATTTTTAAATTTTTTTCTAATGTATTTTGATTAATTATAATGAGTATAATGTAAAAAACACCATAGTTCTTTCTATTGATAATATATGTTTAATTTATTTTTTTATGTAAATTAATAATTCCATTGAATAATAATAATAATAATAATAATAATACATTTAAGTTAGAATAAATTGAAAAGGTTAAAAAAAGAGAAAGACTATTATAGATTTATCGAAGTAAAATATAAAAAAGTATCAAAATTACTTATTTTGACTTCTACCTCAATACTTTTCTCTCCTAACTATTACCTTCATTTGAGTTTACTTTCATCTTTTTTTATTGTGTATTCTAACGCCTAACATTTGATAATTTTAAAAATAATTAAAATTCTAATTCTAGGCATTTTTTAACTGAGAAAATTACAATATCCAAAGTGGACACTTAATCATAATGTTCAATAGAGAGAGAATCATGTGTGCTTCTTTGGCGCACCTTAAGTGCATATCATTTTTGTGGACCTTCTCACATAATTTTTTTTTAATTCTTTTTATTTATAAAAACAAATATTTATTTAAGTAATAAAGAAATACTTATTTTGCTCATATGTAGGTCCATAGTAGACCTTAAATCTACCATACAATTTGTTGAGAATTATTAATATGTTTAAAACGAAATTCATATATTGAAATAAGACTTTCAATTCGTTAAACCAACGAAAATATAATTCATATAATTGTATCATCAAAAAATGTAAAAGGGATTAATTTTAGAATTATTGAAGATATTTTTGAAAAAAATGCATACCAATGTTGACTACTTAAGTAAATTGTTTTTTGGGAAACCTAATATAAATAAATAACCTTAATTATTTGAAGAAAAGTATACTATACATCCGTCCCATAAAATTTTTCTAATGCAAAGAAATGCGTCCCTTAAAACTTTTCAAATTAAAAAACAGGTGCACCGTACCCTAAAATCATTTATCCTACACATCATACCTTACCTTATTATAAAGCAAAGGAAAAGTTAGAAAATAATATCAAAATTATACATTTTTAAAGGAGTTCAGTGGTATGTAATTTTGAGATGATAGTCTACTTAATAGATTTCAAAATAATTTCTTGATTGAGAACTTAAACAATGACAAAGAAAAATTATCATCTGATTTTAGAGGATATTTATCTACAATGAATGAAGATCAAAGAAAGATATCTGATGCGATAATGGAAGTCTGATATCTGAAAGAGGAGGTTTCTTTTTTTAAAATGGTTACGGGAGACTTGGAAAATTTTTTATATAGAAACCAATGTCTACTTCTCAAGATCGAATGGTATGTAAGGTTGTTTTGAATGTTGCATCCAGTGACATTGCAACATTGCACACTCGAGATTCTCAATCCCTCTGGCTTTAACTGAGTGCTCAACCTGTGCTATCAAACAAGGAGGTCCGAAAGCAGAATTAATCTAACAAGCAAGTGAAATCGTATGAGATGAAGCATGTGTGATGAATCGATTGCTTTTGAGGCATTTGATCACACAACGAGAGATATAATGAGGTTCTATAATAATAACTATAGAAATGAATCATTCGGGGGGAAATATTAGTACTCGGAAGTGATTTCCGCCAGATCCTTTCAATTTTACCAAAGCTTCGAGAGAAGAAATTGTAGGTGGTATCATAAATTCCTCAAAATTGTGGGAGTATTGTAAAGTTTTTACGTTGACCAAGAATATGATATTGCATTCTCTATGTCCTCTTACACACATAGGGATACACAAGTTCTTTCTGATTGGTAATCAAAATTGGAGATGAAAAGCTTAGTCAGGTGATTGATGGAATTGCTAATGTTGAAATTCCACCCAAATTCTTGATTCTTGACATAAGTTATCTTCTCAAGAGTATAGTACTGGAATTCACTTAATTATCTGAACTTATTGGAAAATATGAAAAATATTCTTCTTTAGGATAGGGAACCATTAGCACCTACTTTTGAAGTTTTTGAAATGGTAAATGAGTTTGTCCTATTCCTCATTCTCGATGATGAAAAAGAAGTACTTGAGTTATAATTCTTAATGACATGCAGATGCCAATGTAGGTGTTGAGAATGATAGGATAACATTTGAATTTTTGAATGAAATCAAATATTTAGATGTTCGGGGATCCCAAACCAAAAAATAGTTTTGAAAAAAGGGTATTGATTATGTTATTTGAATTGTGTAATGGTACAAGATTAATTGTTGAGGAGCGAGCTGCAAAAAAACGTTAACTATGCAATTGTGGTTTTGAGAAACCGAGACGGGGAAAAGGTTTACATACCTCGAATAAATTTAGTACATATGATCCAAGGCTACCCCCTAAAGTTTCAAAAAAGACAATTCCAATAGTTTTATAATGTTGTGAAATTTGCACTAAATAGGACTAAAACATAATGACTTTCCTAATATAGGACTTAAACTTTTTTATTCCCTAAATAGGACTTAATAATGACCTTGTGAGAGGAATAATGTCCAGTAATGATGGACATTTACTTGAATAATGACACTTGATAATGACCAAAAGTCCTACATTGAGAAATAAAAACATATAGTCCTATATTAGGAAAGTCATTATGTTTTAGTCCTATTTAGGTAAATTACTCTTTTATGTTTTGCTATGACTAATAACAAAAGTTAAGGTGAAACATTATCTTTTGTTAGATTATTTTTACTAAGTCAGTATTCACTTATGGTTACTTTTATGTTTTTGTTTCAGGAGTGAAGACAAATACATTATTAAAAATGTTTATTTTAGATGACATTAGAAAACCTTTGCAACCATACCAAAAATGTTGTGTATCATAAAGTAATTTGGATTTTAATAAGTCTTTGTTTTGTATACTTTCAATTCTTCAAATATTATTTATTCTACTTTGACGTAGATGTATATAGTATTAAAAGATCATATAAAAAATTTATTTTCTTTAATCTGCAAAAAAATATTACATGGAAAAATATAAGAATCGACAAAAAATTTGTTTGGCCCCGTGCATGGTATGGGTCAAAATACTAGTATAAATATATAATTTTTAAATATATTTAAATAATCCGTTCTACCAGTAAACCCGTGAACTATTTAAACCTGTTCGGTCACTGATTTCCTAAAACTATGGTGTAAAACCCTCATCTACTGATGGCACCCCAAATCCCAGTCCGACAACAAGGCCATGCCCGTCCGCAGACCTCCCGCCTGAACATTCCACCGTCCACAACACTCCCAGTCCCCTAAATTCCCAAATCGCAGCCCGAACCCACCACCTTGGACCCTGCCCCCCAAACCCCCGCCCGGCGGAAGGTCTTTCTGGACCGCGACACAGTTTCTCAGCTAGAGGCACCGAACTTCATTTTGTTTTATTGTATTGTCTGGTATAAAATCTTGCTAGTCCTTTGTTAGTGTCCATAGTTAAACTCTTGCTTGTTTTTTTTGTTTAACGGCTTCCTTTATTTGTTTGTTTTTGGTCGGTCTTTGTCGGCTGTTTTGGCACAGTTTTGTTTTCTTCGCTTCCTTCCCTTTTGTTTTGGGCTAGTTATAGGCGGGTTTTCTGGTAGTCTCCCTTCTTGTGATGGGGGGAACAGGTAGGGTGGTTTTGGCTAGTGATCGTGTAAGCTCATATCCTCCATTGGCCTAGTTTAAGATTTGGGTCGTGGAACATAGGGTCTATGACGGGGAAGTATATAGAGTTGGGGAAGGTACTTATGTTGTCTTGAGTTAAATATGCTATCTGAATTGTGTAATGCCAT